TAATTGTATATTTTTTTTGTTTAAAAGGTTACCCGAGATACCAAAGATAACCTGATTTTGCTGGTATGCAACTTCATAAAAGTTACAGCCCTACACATTTATTCCAAACTCCATCAAAATCAAACCATAATCGATCAAGTTATCAAGTTCACAGATATAGTTACAAAGACAAGAATTTAAAAGAATAGAGTAGACCTACTATTTTTGTCCTATATTGGACCATCAAGTAAACTGGTTTTGGATCTAGGTGTTACCATGCCACGGTATAGCTTCTAAAATGGGTAGATTCACTGAAAATATGAAATATTTGGGTGATTTGGAAGTAAAATATCCTTAACAAAGGTATTATAAAGGTGAAATATGGCAGAAATGTTCTAATTTTAATAGGGTTTTTCCAAAAACAATTATAATTACCTGAGCATTGTATGAGTGACTCAACCTTAGGGAACGGCTGGTACAGTGGTGGATCTGAACTGTCATAGGTGAACTCTTGCTTGCCTGATGACAGAGGGCGTGTTATGTCCTCCCCTCCACTGCGGTACTTGGGGGAAACCGACTCTGGGTTCAGACTAAGGATTGCCTGCAGACCACATAAATTACTTATCATATGAATCTAATACCGGTATAAATATTTCTTAGAAGAAATCATAATAAATACAATCATTAATACAACTCTCTTTCCTGTTATACCTCCGAGGAACATGCTAGGAGCTATTACTTGATGATTGGTTTAAATCTTTGAGGTTGGAATTGAAAGGATAAACAAACAAGATAATGTATATGATAATAAAGATTGATTTGATTTGAACACAATTGAGTTTGTAGTGCGTACCCTGTAGAGCAGAGATTGGGTCAGTTTGAGTCTAAACTCAGGCTTGGCATCTGGCAGTACATAGTCAGGCTTCACCTCATATCCCAGAGTGTGGAGAGCCTTCTGAAGTGTATCAACATCCAGCAAACATTTGTTGATGAGGAAACTCTCAGTCTGATAAGCGTGAATCTAAACAAACCACTGTTGTAAATATTACAAAGTCAACTTTTCTTAGACCAGATCTACTAGTTTTATATATTTAGATGCTCTTTAAATGTTTTGTATCTTCAAAACATATAGTTTTAGAGCTTAAATATACATAGATTTTTTATGGAACCACGTGGGTGTTTTTATGGGTCCATGAGGTAGGTAGGCCTACATAAAAAGAGAGTCATAGTGTTTGGAGCTTAATTTTCAGTATAAAATTACCAGTAGTTCAAGATCCTGCAATCACAAAAAAGGGTCATCCTGAATTCATTTTACAGTAAATGTGCACGTATTACATATTCACTTAAAATTTTTAAAATCAAAATTAGAATTAACAAATAAATAAGTGTAACACATCCAGGAGAGTTAGCAGAATCCATGACATTTGCACAAAATGTGTTAATGAAATTTTATTTCGTAATATGTAGTTGTATCTGGCATATTTTTTTAGGGAATAAAGATTACTTACAAAAGATGGATGTATTCCTCCAAATACAATACTTGGACGGTCTAACACTTTAAAATGATTCTTTTTGTCCACTCTAAACTTGAACCCGCCATTAACATAAGCAATTGCATTCTGGGCCCGAGGCATAATCTGTAATTAAAAACAATAGTTAATTCAAATAATAATTAAGAAATTGAAACTTCGTACACAGTAGAACCCCGATAATCATGTAGCCTCCAGCGATCTGGCTCAATAAAAAAAAAATAACCTAAAAGAAATAATATGTATGTAATTTTTAAGTATGGTAGGCTACAGTATCTACTAGCATTTTCTATAATATTTACTGTACTGTATTGTAGGTAGGTACAGTTATTGTTATTAATGATACACAACACCCATGATCTACACTACTATATTACTGGCAAGTGGTGCCGAACCAAGGGACGAAACAGGGAACTCACATATGTGCAATTGCCACCTGCTCAAAAAAAAATCTTCACTTCTAAACTGCAATTATTTTTGTTATAATTTTCATCACAACATTGCCAGTCATTGCTCTTCACCCAGGTAGATAGCATTGAAGCAGATCTTGTTAACTTTAGTAGAAACTTTGACCGTCTCAAATAACTAGTTTAAATGGTCTCTTTCGCCAGTCCAGCATTTTCTTAAATCCGTCATACTGGCCACCCATTAAAGCTAGTTTATTGAGGTTCTATCGGTACTGTATATGCATTTAAACCAATTTTCTTTCAAAATTAGCTCAATAGTAGCAACCAACCTTAGTTGTTATAATTCAAAAATGTTCAAATGTTAAACAACATTTTGTAAAGAGATCAATTTATTTGAAAGATAATAAAATATTGTGGGAGTTATATTACACAAATACACTTTTGTTCATAATATAAAATTTAGTGTTTTGCGGAAATTTCAGTATGAGGGTGCAATTGTGTATGAATAGTTCAAGTAGTATGTATGAACTCTTAACTACAGAATGTATTTAGTGTGTGTTTTATGTTTGGTTATTGTACTTGTACATAAATAACCAATAAACAGAAGAAATAAATGTCAATTCTGGCAACTTTACATGGAAAAAAAACTTTGTTGAATAAAAAAAAACCTAAGTTACTGAAACTCATTTATTACTCAACCAAATGCTTATTTATTGAATTTTCCATTGTTTATCATAATCCTTACCTTATATGTTCTCACAATATAGCATTTATTGTCGAGAGGAGGGAGAATAATCTGAATTATTACTTGTTTGTGCATGTTTATCTCTAGAAAGTCAGAGAGTGAGTACCCGGTGACAGCTCCACTAACCCCTCCTAGACAAATCATACATTTAATGTTACTTAAGAGATACTTAATAGGTGGTGAAACTGTTGATTAATTAATCATCAACGTTAAACTTATACATGTATACTTGGCTAAAATAGTTATAAAATCATGCTCAAAGCAACCGAGAAACATTATTTATGTGTTATAGCTCAATTTGTTCCTATTTGACAAAACATGTAGGTAGTTCACCACACGGTGAAAAGTGTCTTTTCAACCCTCGCTCATTTTCTGACTGAGACAAAGCTCGAGTCGAAAAGAGTCACTTTACGTCCTAGTGATGAAATATACTATTTTTATGTAGCATTTAAATTACTGTTATTTGGATGTAACCCTTACTTTGTAATAGTAACAGGCAAACACACACTAATCTATTTCCTTAATTTAAATAATAAAAAAAAGGCAGACAACACCTGACCATGCGAATGTTTTATTTATTGTTTTTAGTTTTGAGCCTTGAATGGTAATCAGATCTGTAAAAAGATAGTCAATTTTCAACTCACTAACAGCTACAAGCGCTCCCACAGTTTCAAAGATGAGGAAGATATCAGAAGGAAAGCGACGCCATGTGTGTTTAATCATCAGATTCCCAGCAATGGTGCCAACCTACCACAATAAACATTTGTTGATGATATTTATCATTACTGTAGGAGATTTATAAGTAATTCTTTGTAAAATTTGCCTGTCTACATATCAATAAACCCGTAAAAATGCAGTTTAACTAAACTCAACTAGGTTACCTATATTGATAAATTATCGTTGGCCTTTTTTAAAGATCCCTTTTTCTACTAAGGCTAGGTGTGATGGATGATAACGGAGACATTTCTAACCAGTTACTCAAGAATTTAATGTGATTATTTGATTTGTAATTTTAGACAATGAAATTGGGTAATATCTTTGACTATTAATACAACATGGTTATATTAATGTAGCCAATTTTATATTGAAAATATAGGTTTAAAATGTGAGTAGATAGATACAAAATAAAAAATAAAACCATTTACAGCAAAACATTCAATACACCCCTTCCTCTTGACCATGGGAGTAGAAGACCAAATAAGATGATCAAAATAAAATCTCATAAGCAAAATAAAGAGAAAAGCACACATAAATAAATGGATTGAAATTTAAAAATAAAATAATATTTTTTTTAGCAAAACATGTCACTTACGTTTCTTACAGGTGTGTTGGCTACTTTGTTTATATGTTTGGCTAGTTCCTTTAAATAAGAGAAGTTTGCAGGATCCTCATCAGCCACTGCGTCAAAGAGTGTAATGGTTTCTGAGAGAGTGGTGTTGGCTCCAACGTGTAAATGGTTTGAATGAAAGGAATGGGTCTTGAGGAACTTCACTCCGTTTATATCAATAAATACGTCTGGTGAAGGTTTTCCCTTGAGAATTCCTGTAAATAAAAAAAATAAAATATAAACAATATACTGGTACCACATTTAAGATAATGGTTCAAACAAAAACATACTTGAGTTATGACAGCTTATTAATTTATGTTATTCTTGGTAACTTTTAGTCTACAACATACTTGGAAGTTGATGCACATACTTAGAATGGAGTCAACCAGTATGATGCAGTGTTTTTGTACCTGAGAATCATAAATTTAATAACTGTTCACAAAGTAAAAAAGTTTTTATTTTGTCTCTAAACTACTTGAGTTCAGTGTTATTGTTATCAATGTTTCAAATTTAAATTCTGGAATGTATATTCTATCTCAAATACAATGGGACAGGGATGCAATGCTCACATGATTTGAACTAAATATGAATAAAGGATAGGTGTAGCATAGTAGCATGGAGTGAAATGCCTTCTTTAGCTTTGTTGTTGGCTAGATTTGCTTTTTTGGTCAGGACCAGGGACAGCTGGATTCATTTTCAAACACCATCAGCGAGCTACTGATTTTTCTCAGAACTAAACCGGCAACAACTGTTTACTTGGTGGGAACATATCCACCCAGCAATTTTCAATATTCTGATATTAATGTGGAGGATCAACTAACATCTATATACTTAGAACAATAAGGGTTTCCCTGTAATATCCCTTTTCCAGCTGTCCTACTTAACCAATTATTACGATTGAGTTTTCATTTTAAAGCTTATTATCTAGTGCACCTGCCAATGGCAATTAAAAGGGTAATTCCTTTAATGCTTCACACCCCTCACGTTTAATTTATAACTAGAGTTAGTTGTACCTTGAGCAGTGTTTCCGCCTACGAGCATGTAGGAGCCAGTCACCGAGGTGAAGATCTCAAATATCTCATCTACAGAAGTGACCTTGTACCAATGAGAGCCTCCTTGGAGTTGCAGCCGTAGTGAGAGTGGAGCCAACGCCACCTCCACAAACTCACCGTCACCTTCACCATCCTCTCTACGACTCATCTCCACACAGTCGTACAGGCCTCGCTGAGCCCCTGGTCTGCACTTGCCTTGACAAGGTACTCCACTGCGCTTGCACACTTTCAACAGGTCCTGCACACAAGGGTATTATGATACATTTATATTTTGTTTAAGTTCTTGACCATCATTAATGTTTACATTAATTACGTTCCAAAAATAAAATAGTTCATAAACATTGTTGAAAAATATATGATATATTGAATGAAATGGGTGACGCAGCTTTGTTATCAATTATCAATCATTGAGATGGGGATGCCACCTAAGTGCGTATTTTAACCCAAATATGAGTGAAGGATGAGTGTAGAATGGTGTGAGATGATCTCTGTAGCTTTGTTTTGTTACCGAAGAAGATCAGCTGTTTCATTTACCAGAATTATTTATTTAAAGCCCCATGATTAGGACGTATTTAGAGTCAATGAGGCCCCTGGCGGTTCTCACCAGAGAGGCCCTCTTTATTCTGATTCTTCGTAAGGATGGAACTTGAGGGTTTAGAAATACACGTGGTATTGCTTCAACTCGATGAATTGACCATTTGTTTCCAACAACCCTATCAGCAAAAAGACCTAGAAGAGCTAATAAATAAAGTATATTAATATTTTAAATAATTATATTTGGGGTCTTAAGTCGGGACCAGACATTTTAAACTTCTTTCGGGTTGAGTAAAAATTGTTGACCTTGGGGCATCGGATCAAAATCGGTTTGTTTTGGAAATAATTAATTTGAAATATATTAATTGATAATCGGCTTGTGCAAAATCTGAAATCGCAGCCAAATTGTAAGGACCTTCTGCGATCACAGTAAAATCGTAGACATCTACCGCGGTCGCAAAGGGATCATGAACATCTTCTACCTTCATGGCGAAATAGTGAACATCATGTGCGATCGCGGAGACATCATCTTCGTCTTCTGCGATCACGAAGAAATCATGAATGTCTCCTGTGGTGGCAGAAAAGAGTGGACATCTTGCGCGATTGCGGGGACATCGTCTCCAATCTCATGGGGACCGATCATGCTATTTACTCATCATGCTATTTATCATTACTGGAATGATGAACGTCTCCTATGTCCGCGGAAAAATGCATCTTGCGCGAGCGCAGGGATGTCATCTTCGTCTCCTCCGATCTTCGCGGAATCAGCTTACTGTAAACACGGAAAAAGAGGGAACGTCTTGTGCGAGTGCGGAAACATCATCTTCGTCTCTCCGATCAAGGCGAAATCATAAACGTCTCATGTGGCCGCAGAGGAATAGTGAATATCATGCGCGAGTGCAGAAACATTATCTTCCATCTCCTCCAATCGCTGTGAAATCATGTATGACTCCTTTGGCCACGGAGAAATAGTTAATATCATGCGCGAGCGCGGAAATATCATCTTCGTCTCCTTTGATCATGACAAAATTGTGAAGATCTTCCAAGTTTGCGGGACATGATCTTTGACTCCCACGGACGCAATAAAATCCTGGACATATTCCGCAATCGCGTATGAATAGTAATTCCTACGTTAACGGGGTAATAGGGAAGATCTTTTGCGGTCGCGTGGATTTCAACGTTTCTTAAGATAGCGGCAAAACACATTATCGGTCAAATAAATTTACCAAGAAAAAAATTCAGGCCCCCTCCTAGCCCGAGGCCCCCGGCAACCACCGTGTCCGCTGTTAGGGAAATATGGCCCTGCCCATGATCAGAAACATCTGGGTCCAGTTTCGAACCATCAAAAAGCTACTACTATATCTCAGGATCTTTTGATTGTTAGGCAAACACTATAACCACACAGCTACCCAGTGTCATTTATATTTTATGTTTAGCCCAATGACAGATGGAAAACTGGGTCAATATAGTCAATAAAACAACAATCAAGTCAAAGAATCAGTCAACTAATTTTCCAAACAAATTTCGACTCAGAAAAATCACAGTTAATTCATTCCAACCAACGCTAAAGTGAATCCTACTTTCATCACATAGCCATTTTTGACATATTATATTCTAATAAAATAAGTTGTTTCACTAACTTTTATCAAAAATTCTAGTTTCATACAATTTAAACATTTCAAGACACAAAGAAAATCTTAATTATTATTGCAAAATTTCAAACTTTACCTCTATATCTGTAACTTTTTTGGCTAGCTCATCAGTCTTATCTGAAGCAAATGATTTGAAGGCATCCAATATAGGCCGGTAACCTGTACAACGACAAAGGTTTCCAGAAAGCGAGTCCTCTATCTCTTTCATGGTAGGTTCTGGATTGGCTGCAAGTAGGCTAAAAACATTTGTTAGTATATTGTATATTTACTTGATCTTTTAAAAAGTCAACCCTTTTATTGTTTATAATACAGTACTTTGATAAAGGTTTTTATGTTTTAATATTTAACATTGGAGAATTTAAACGTTGTTAAGTGCACAGGTGTGCTGCGATTGGGGTTTAATACATTTGGACTTATTCAAAAGTAAAATAGTTTTCTGTGCTGTAGAATCTGTAGAAACACTGTGGCACTATTTCAAATCATTACTAATGCTAATACAGAATGTTGTGATTATTCAAACCTACAAAACAGTTGGTCTGCTTTTAAATTATATTTATTTGTAAACATTGTAGATAAAAAAGTCTGACATTGGCCCACTTAAAACCCTCTGGGGCAGAGCCCTTTTGACGGATCTGCACCAAACTTCATTTGAACCATCCTTGAAAGATGCTTAATAATGCCTGAAAGTTTCATTACAATCTGTCGAGCGGTTTCGGAATCCATAACGTATATACACACACACACACACATACATACATAGTTCCTCTTTTATAGATATAGATTTACTTGATCTTTAAGTGTTTTTTTTTTTGTTGTAACTATAGCTCATATTTATTTAGTGATTTACCATCACAGAGCATAGAATAAATATAGAGGCTGCACTTGCCGTCTGGAGTGAAGCAGGCTTCTCGTACCAAGATGGCGGCCGGCCCGGTCTGCATTTACATTTAAACCATTTTATTGTTACCATGGAAACCACCAATCAATATTTACTTTTAAAACTCTCACCTCAGAACTTTGAAAGCCCGCGGGGCAGAGTCCTAGCTCTATATCGAAGGGGGGATAGTTCTATATGTATCTTCGGAGCGGTAGCTTCATCTAATTCATAAAGTAGCATAGAATAACACAGTGGTAATGACGCCGTGTTTTCAAAGTTCTGTACCAAGATGGCGGAAATCGGCTTCACTACTGGTATAGCTGTAGGTATAGGAGTGGCGACTCTATATTTATTCTATGCTCTGTGTTTACCATAAAAATAATTATTATTATTATAGTATAAATATTCTTTTTAAATGCGGAAAAAAGGGGTTAATTGTAAACTAAAGTTCTTTATCTCTTTTTTGCCATTTTTTATAAATAATTTCTAGAATTTTAGATCTTAAATTAGTATATTTTATCACTAGGGCATAAAGTTACCTGAGCTAAAGTTTCACAACTTGGAAAAAAAGCAAGGGTTTAAAAGCACTTTTTTCTGTGTGATAAACTTATTTTTTTTGCATATCGCACCATTATATAAACAAACTAAGTTGCAAAACAACAATACTTTTCCTATAAAGACAACTTCTCAAAATAACGTTTGGTATTGCAAACAAGCAGCTGTTTATAAAGTAATTCAATAATTTTGTATGTGTTTGTGCACTTGTGCATGTGTTTGTGTATTACTAAACCACCAATATGACAAACAATTGACAAGAATACAACAGCAAAGCTACAACCAAAGATTACATATGCTACAACCAATTAAAACAACTAATGCACCTGTTGCTCACATTCAAGCAATTGCAAAGTATTACAGGTGTTATTTAAAAACGAATAACATAATCATTATTTCCATGACTTAAAAGAGTCAACTCAAAGAACATGTAATCAATAAATAAACTCCAGTTATCGAAACTGAAAACTATGAAAACGAACCCTTTTGTGTGTATCATGTGTTTACTATGAACAGCTGTAATTAATAAGAATTATTCGTCTGTTTAAGTAAACAAAATCTTTTCTTCATAAGAAATACATTAGGATTTTGATAGCCTGTGGGGCAAAGTGTGGGGAATTTTGTTACAGGAATATAGATATGAAAATACATTGATTTCTCAGTTATCTCACCCTACCTGTACATACTCATGACCCATCCCGGTGTGCAGTAGCCACACTGAGTGCCATAGAAGTGAGCCAGTCTGGTCTGAATCTCATTGTATCCTTTCTGTCTGCTGCCGATTCCTTCTACTGTGGTTACTTTGAGACCATGACAAGCATATACAGGAAACATACACTGGAAAATCAAATAAAATGTAAGCTTCTATATTACTCAGTAATCAAAATCATCCATAAAGATCTCTCTGAAAGACAAACAATTATACTTTCTTATTAACAGTCCATGCAAGAGTCTTGATGTAAGTGTTGAGATGATTAATAAAGCTACTTACAGAGTTGACAGACACAATCTTGTGTTCTCCAGTAGCAGGATGGGTAAACTCCAGTGTTACAATACAAGCTCCACAACCTCCCTCCCGACACATGAACTTGGTACCCTTCAGTCTTACTAAAGTTACTTACAGAGTTGACAGACACAATCTTGTGTTCTCCAGTAGCAGGATGGGTAAACTCCAGTGTGACAATACAAGCTCCACAACCTCCCTCCCGACACATGAACTTGGTACCCTTCAGTCTTACTTAAGTTACTTACAGAGTTGACAGACACAATCTTGTGTTCTCCAGTAGCTGGATGGGTAAACTCCAGTGTGACAATACATGTTACACAACCTCCCTCCCGACACATGAACTTGGTACCCTTCAGTCTTACCAAAGTTACTTACAGAGTTGACAGACACAATCTTGTGTTCTCCAGTAGCAGGATGGGTAAACTCCAGTGTGACAATACAAGCTCCACAACCTCCCTCCCGACACATGAACTTGGTACCCTTCAGTCTTACTAAAGTTACTTACAGAGTTGACAGACACAATCTTGTGTTCTCCAGTAGCAGGATGGGTAAACTCCAGTGTGACAATACATGCTCCACAACCTCACTCCCGACACATGAACTTGGTACCCTTCAGTCTTACTAAAGTTACTTACAGAGTTGACAGACACAATCTTGTGTTCTCCAGTAGCAGGATGGGTAAACTCCAGTGTGACAATACAAGCTCCACAACCTCCCTCCCGACACATGAACTTGGTACCCTTCAGTCTTACTAAAGTTACTTACAGAGTTGACAGACACAATCTTGTGTTCTCCAGTAGCAGGATGGGTAAACTCCAGTGTGACAATACATGTTACACAACCTCCCTCCCGACACATGAACTTGGTACCCTTCAGTCTAACCAAAGTTACTTACAGAGTTGACAGACACAATCTTTTGTTCTCCAGTAGCAGGATGGGTAAACTCCAGTGTGACAATACAAGCTCCACAACCTCCCTCCCGACACATGAACTTGGTACCCTTCAGTCTTACTAAAAGTTACTTACAGAGTTGACAGACACAATCTTGTGTTCTCCAGTAGCAGGATGGGTAAACTCCAGTGTTACAATACAAGCTCCACAACCTCCCTCCCGACACATGAACTTGGTACCCTTCAGTCTTACTTAAGTTACTTACAGAGTTGACAGACACAATCTTGTGTTCTCCAGTAGCAGGATGGGTAAACTCCAGTGTGACAATACATGCTCCACAACCTCACTCCCGACACATGAACTTGGTACCCTTCAGTCTTACTAAAGTTACTTACAGAGTTGACAGACACAATCTTGTGTTCTCCAGTAGCAGGATGGGTAAACTCCAGTGTGGCAATACATGCTCCACAACCTCCCTCCCGACACATGAACTTGGTACCCTTCAGTCTTACTAAAGTTACTTACAGAGTTGACAGACACAATCTTGTGTTCTCCAGTAGCAGGATGGGTAAACTCCAGTGTGACAATACATGCTCCACAACCTCCCTCCCGACACATGAACTTGGTACCCTTCAGTCTTACTAAAGTTACTTACAGAGTTGACAGACACAATCTTGTGTTCTCCAGTAGCAGGATGGGTAAACTCCAGTGTGACAATACATGCTCCACATCCTCCCTCCCGACACATGAACTTGGTACCCTTCAGTCTGGCATACTCTCTGATGTAGGTGTTTAAAGAGGTGTCCACAGGCAACAAAGATACTGAAATTACATAGTCATCAGTCTTTAAATTCCATCCATATTGTCAATTTTTTAAATTTATACTTTTGAAAGTTTTTTAAGGTCAATTTGTTCCCCTAGGTTGAATCACATATAAAATGTCATATGTGATATGGCCCTCGCCGTGGCCTTGTATTAGAGGAGGCTTTGACAATATATACATTCTTCTGCTGCCCACAAAGGAACAAGTGGGAGGCTCAACTTTAAGTAAAACCACACTGTCGGTATATACACAGCCTTCCTTAAGATGGTGAATACCTGTTTGTTCGTTATAGTTTGGCCAGGGTATTCTCCACATCAAAAGTATCAATATAAAATCTTTATATAGAAATATTATATATTATCTTTTATTTCCAATCCATGGGATCTTGGGTTAGTTTATTAAATAACTGCAATTGTTAACTATTGCTAGAAAGTAAACATCCCATTTCAATGCTAAATCTGTAAGCCATCTTAAATTTGTTTAATTTACACAGATGATTTGCACTGCTGACAGAGTACGCTGAATTGCTGCTTTCTATTGCGTATTCAAACTTTAGAGGAAGCCAAACCGAAAGGACAACTTTTATGGTAAACTTGTATCATCTAGAGAGTAAGTTTCGTAAATGGGCTGGGCCAATGGGGAGAAGGAAGGGAAAAATTCTGTGCAAGGAAAGGGGAGGAGGAGCAATTATCTTTTTGGCTCATAGTGTGTTACATGCAAACCACTGGCCTGATCATCTTTATGAAAATTCAAATACCAATATCGAAAACTGAAGGGGGAATCAAATTTTGACAGCAGCATAATCTGCAAATGGTTCTTTCAACTATATTTTCTATTTGATTTCCCATATAGGGAATAAGCTATTACCGCAGGTCTCATGGTAAGACCTAGACCCAGGACCGATTTAATTTTTCGTTTTAAGGTCCCTAGAGGCCAAAAACACCATCCTTTCTAATTCATATATATATGTGTCTGTCCGTTAGCACGATAACTCAAGCAAAAATGATCCGATTTTGATGAAATTTGGTACAAACGTGTAAACCTACATTTATTCGAACGAGTTTGGGAACCAGCATAATTGGACTATGGGAACAGGGGTTTTATGGGTAAAAATTGATTTTTCCCATTTTTGACCCTAAAAACACAAAATTTCATAATTTTTCTCCTAACAATTTTGTAGAGCGAAAAAAATAAATAATTATGTATATTGAAGCATTGTTGTATGCCCAACGGTTATGGAAGTAATTAAAAAATTGTAATTTTAAAATTCCCATGTTATTCTTATGGAGAATAATTTAAACCAAATTTGGAATTGTTTTTTATTTAATACTAAGCTATCGACATTGCAATAAAAAAACACATATCAATATCTTCCCTATAGTAGCAAACCTAAGTACTCACTAAAATTAATGTTAATTAAATAGGAAACAAATCTGACAATTTTTAGGGAATGTTTTAGTATAAGAGTGAAAATTTAAAAATGTACGTTTTCATGTCCCTGGCCTTTTACTTCGTAGATACTGGATTTGTAGTTTATTATTATGTGTTTTAATATTTTTTGGGACGGGGGCAACATGTTACACACATTTATTTGGTTCTAAATAGGTTCTAGGTATTTTTTTTGTATTTTTAAAGTCTCGAAATTCACGACCATGACGTGTCCCTAGGGTACATTTTCCAACTTTCACGCTGTTTTTAGACTAATTATTCATGCCGAAATATATAAAGCCATATTTTTATGTCATCAATGGTTATTAAACTTATAAAAAAGGAGCATATTATAATTTTATTGTCATTACAAACTGACTATCATGACAAAATAAGTCTGTCCCTCGATTTGGTTTCACGACCATTTGGGAAAAATGTTCAACTTTGGAGCACGACAGTGGCAAGACTGGCGTCGATGGAGTCAGTTGGTTTTAGAGACTAGTTCGGGGTGTACGTCAGGATTGTAGTGCCGGTCGTTTCGAGTTGAAAGGAGGAATTACAAGATTAATAAAGGAAAGATTGTGTTTTTTGTAATTTTGGTGTGTCCATGACCGTACGTAGTCATTCGATGAAGTAGATATGGTGTTAATTTTTGTTTATAAGATATTTCAATTGATAGATTAACCTAGAAGTCCACTTTGTATCCTCGAACATGAGGTGCAGGGCTACCGCCAGAACAGAGCCAAATAACACATAATTTCACGACCAAAGTTTCACGACCATCGCGGGTTTTTTCACGACCAATCCAGCCTTATGGATTATAGTGTGTTTGGTCGTGACAATAACTTTAATATAATTGTAAATTGAACAGTTTAGTTCAATTGAAACACATATTTTTATTATAACTAACAGGATAATTGAAGGATTGTTTAGAAAGATTTAGATTGTTCCAGACAATTCACGACCGTACCGCTAGTCCCTGACCATCACGTTTATGATTTTTATCATAAAAATTTCAAAAATTAAAATATCGTCATATTTCAATGTTTTATACACAAAAGAAGCACACCTCTATACAAACATAACGATTTTTCGGGTCTCAGGTAAGTTTTTTCGGAGTTATACAAACTTAAAAAGATTTTATTGGCTTTTTTTTCAATTTTTTGAGTTTTTTATTTTTTTCTTTAAAGACCAAATATACCAAAAGCTCAGTGACCTTTTTATTGTATAATGGTCATAAAAGTAAATTAGTTTATAGCAAAACATAGTTATAAAATAATATAACTATTTTTAATATTCATTTAAACGTCCGTTATGGTCGTGACAGGATTTTGTGTTTTTCCACTAAAGATGCTCTTTTAAAAAGAAACTACCAAAGATATTGCGTTACCATGGACATTTTATGAAACTTCAAATGTTAATAAAATAAAAAAGATAATAAAAGTTTTGAAAAAAGGGGAAAAAACGCAAAGTGCTTTTCCTGAAAACGTACGTTTTTAAATTTTCACTCATAAATCCAGCCAGGTAAATGGAAATTCACTTAGTCTGCATGTTTGCTGCGGCGAGGGTATTTTTAAATGGCTACAGCTAGAACACATTGATGGGGTGTCTGTTTCAGAATCCAAAATTCAATTATGAAATATACAAGGTCCTTAAAAAGTCTGAGAAAAGCTTTTCACATAAGTAGCATACAATAGTGTACCGTGACTAAAAATATATGTTTTGAGTGAAGTGTGTACTCTTTTCACTTTCCTGGGGATGGTTCACAAGGAGTCGAAAGGAAATTTTAAGTAAGAGCATAAGGTGAGTAGTAGGTACATCAAATTAAAGTCTCATTTAGGAGAAACACGGATCCACAAACCCAACCTAAAATTCAAGGTTCATCCTAGTTAGTCCGGCAGAATTGA